CTAAATTTGTTTTATTTTTTATTTTGAGAAATCAAAATCTCAATTTTCTTCCAAATTTGTCGATGGACTCCGGCCAAAGTGTCTGAAGTCAGTTGACCAAATCCGGGACGTATCCCATCCCCGTCCCCGTCCCCGTCTCGTATCGGGACGGGGACGACACCAAAATCGAAGAGTCCGCACAACTTAGAATGAATGCACCAAAATAAAAGAACCCATATTCACGAGGTATACCAAAAAGTAGAAAACCTAGAAAACAATTTGCTACACATATAGCCAGACATCTCAAACAAAAAGGAAAAAAAAGTTGATTGACCATAGTACCCTCAGTGCATATCTAGGTGATATCTGTGAACAGACAAGAAAACAATAGAAATAACAGTACTATACTTTAGCCGGTAAAACCATTTGTAGCTCTTGTTGTTGCATTGAACTTTTTTGCTAATTTTTTCTAATATTTTAGCACAAAAACATTTTTCATGTTGTAGTAGTTCTTATGCTTCTGATTCTCGAAATATGGATCAAGGTCAAACATCCAGTGGTGTATAATGAGCAATTATTTTGATAAATAGTAATTTTAGATGCAATTAGTCAAATCTCTAACATCAGAATTGTCAATCTCAGCCAAACATAAAATGTTTTATATTTAAAGGAGTTTAAGATAAAGAATAAAGTATAACACCTAATAAATATTCAGGAAAACAAATATTAGCTAGGCGCAGCAAACAGATCCGTAAAATCCTAATCAAAACATTAAACAGATCAAGAATAACCTCAAGGAGGCCAATAAGAAACAAACCTGAGCAGCTTTGTAGGCAGTGAGAGCACCGGTCTTGAACTCAGCTAAATATCGGCGGCAATATCCTTTCATTTTCAGGTGAAAAAAAAACCCTAATTAGATCACCAGAAAGAATAAGAGAATACAATAATCTAGCTGTGTTATAAATGGAAGACAAAAGCACCAGAAATAAGAGACTTTCAACATATAATCATACCTTTTCACCACATAAATTTCAGCAAACCGACCAAGATTACAGCTGTTTAATTAGAACCTATCTTGTTTGAGAAATTAATAGGTGAAGAAAGTAAGCGCTGGGATTCAGCAAAATATATAGTATGTGAGAGAAGTTGAAGCAATATTGGCTGAAGACAACTTGAAAGACTACCAATAGAAAGAAGAATCAAATACAGATTGATAAGTCCAAGATTAATTAACGATTCAATGACTTTTTGAAGTCTTTCTATATTTTTATCTTAGTCTTTGTAATCAAATTTGAAAATTATATACACCTCTCTGGCCTAAAAGATTATATTATAATAATATTATATGTATTTATACACTCCACTTGTCTTCAGATATGTTTAAACATCACATCACATGAAAATATTATTTTAAATATTGCAACAGTTGTGTAGATGTCGAACAGTAAAATCAAAATTAACTTCAACTGGACTCATCTCTGGCTAGTTAGTAGTAGTACATACATGAACAGGGGCACAGGCATGATTTTTGTTAAACGATGTTGATATTTAAAAAAGTGAATAAATAAATAAACATATCTATGTAACAATATCATATTAAAAAATACAGTTCAAATCATATTAAGAAAAACAACATTCAAACTATTATTACAACTCCGCTCGATGAGTTTTCATTTTTTAAGTAGAATTTGTTATTTTTTATTTTTATTTAGAATCCTCATCAAAAGTAATTTCCAAATACCTCTTTTTTTATAAAGGCATCAAATAATTACTCAAAAGCTCAAAAACGTGATAACTAACAGTAGGACTAGCATCCTATCCTAGAAGTTAATATTAAGGGGTCGTTTGGTTGGAATACGATTTATATTGGTATAAGTTATATTGGGATAAATTATGTTGGGATTAGTTATGCTGGGATAGTTGTTTATTCATTGTTTGGTATGTTGTATTAAGAATGACAATTGCATAATTTCTAAGAAGAAGCTTTAAGTTACACTGGTGCTAATTACCCTACCTTCTATAAGGTATAAGTTATCCTAATGTTAAAATTAACATAGGGATAACTTATACTTGGTTTGCTAACCAAACAGAGTATTAAGGTGGTATTAAATTTTTATACCACTCTTATATCTTCTTATACCTCATACCAAACGACCTCTAAGAGTAATGTTTTAGTAAATAAGGCACAAAATTTTAAAACCACAGCACATGCTGGGGTTTGTACCCACGACCTAAGAGAAGCAAAAAAACACACTCGACCAAACGAGCTGAGGAACTTACTTGTTTCAAGCAATGTCATTTCTTTTTTATATATGTATGCTTATTTGCATAATATTATCTGACTAAGTCAAGGTGCATCCGCCCTGGTACATGACCAGTAAAATTATGTTTCTTTTTCAAGTACTATGAGATACATCCGAAAAATGAAATAGTTGTACGTTTTAAGAAAAAACCTTGCCATGTGCTGCTAAACTTAGATCTGATTTATGTAACATTGACGACCCTCTGTTTTTCTCTATTGATATAACTTCTTATTATTTGTAGAAATTGATAATGTTAAGTTTGGGCAGTGTTGAAATTGGGAAACTAGAGCTGCACCAAATACAGCATTGTCGCGATCTGCATCTTTAACTTATGCAAGTATACGTAGTGGACAGAAAAATACAGTAAAGTATCATTTCACGAGGACTTTTGATTAACTTTCTACTATATTAAACTAATTCTAATTATCTACCAAAAAAAATTGAAGGTTAGTTGTTGAATTAATTACTCCAATAGTTAGTATGTTTGTCAAGCTTCTAGTAACCCATAAGCATTCTCTTTTGGTCAAAATTACTATTTTTGAAAATTTGAGGTGTTTGCCCAAACTAATAAAATTCTTTTGAGCAGCAGCAAAGAAACACAAGAAGCTTTTGCACAACCCTCCATTCACATTGTTTACCTCGAAAATACGAGTAACAATTGTTGGGTTTTTAAGGTATTTAATTAATATATTAAATACTTAAAAGAGGGTGAATGGGAAATGGAGGGAAATGAAATTTTTTGAGTGAAATTTTAAGTTCCCCCTCCCTTGGCAAATGGGCATTGTCCCATATTGGAAGAGGAAGAGGTTTTTTATGGGTATATAAGCAATTGCTCTTCTTCTAGCTCTTAAAGAGTTGAGAAGAAGGCAAGCCTCGCGCCGTCGTCGTCGCTCGCTCGGCTCGGCTTCGGCTTCGGCTTCGGCTTCGGTCAAATGATTGATTGATTAACTTTTTGGACCAAATACCCTCTTCAATTTTCCCTCTTTATTTTCCCTCTTTATTATTGAGTAAATGGCCATTTATGTAATGGCATTTATGTTGTGGGCGTTTTGCATAAACAGCCATTCTGAAGAGACCCAACTTTGGCTATAAATACAACACTATTCTGCTCAGAATTTTAACTACAATTTTCTGAGTTTCCTCTCCTTCTTCTGCATACTTTTAGCATCAAAACAAAGCAAAAAGTAAGTGTGATTTGCTACCGAACTTTGTGTTCGCTGAAACACTGGGGTTTGAAGTACCACTACACCAGTGTGTAATTCGTTCTATCCTGGGAGGAAATAATCCATAACCTTGGGTACTAGGAGGGGATTAAATTCCTTAAGGAAACACTGTGAATTCAGTGGGCTCGAATTAGTTTATGTCATTTCTGTTTATATTCATTACTGTTTATATTCATTTATATTTCCAGAATTTATTTTACAAATACAGTGTAATAACATTAATAATTTAATAAAATAGTAATTAAAATCAAAGATTGAGATGGATGTACTAAGAAAAATAGATTTGGGTCTCTATGAATTTAATAAAATAGTAATTGAAATAATAGATTCAATGTCAAAGAGCTATTCTCAAAGATTGAGATGGATGTTCTAAGAAATAAAAGATTTTTGGGTCTATATAAAATTGAAAAAAGAAAAGAAGAAAAGAGAAAGAGAGGGGAGTAGATAGTGAACTTTTAGGAGAATTAACCCAAATAGTCGACTATCCAACTGTTTAAATTAAAAATAGCCGGTGGAGGTATAATATATTTATAGTTTTTGTATTATATGTGTACAATTGTATATAACTAATGCATAATCTATGTATATGGCTAGAAAAAGTAAACAATAAATATGATCGACTATTTGTGTAAAAAAATCAAGAATTAACCCAAATAGCCGCTCACCTAACCACTTAAACTAAAAATAGCAGGTGAAGGTATAATATATGCATAATTTATGTATTATATGTGTATAAGCAATGTATAATCTATGTATATGCTTAAAAAAAGTAAATAATAAATATAATCGGCTATTTGCGCAAAGATCCGAAATTTTTAAGGAAAGTGGCGAGAAGAAAATCCCCTATTAACTTAATTTATTTAAGAGATTCTATATAAGGGCTTATTGTTTAAAAGGGAATTTTCCTCAGCAAAGATTTAAGGAAAATAAGGAAAGAATTAAAAACAAAACAAGTATGCCCTCTTTTACTTTTCATTTGACATCCAAAAAGAGAAAGAAATCTTTTTAATACTTCTCCTCTATTTTTATAAACTAACCAAATTAATCTTAGCAATTCCATTGCTCTTTATGCTTTTCCTTCTTTTTCTTTTTTGGTCTAATATATACTACCCCCGGTTCACAATAAGTGATAAATTTGCTTTTAGCACGCCAATTAAGAAAATACTAAATTCTATACAAAAATACCTACTATGACTAAACTACCCCTAATTAAACATTTGTGAGGAGTAAGAAATTTTTTAGGGATATGTACATAGGGGTTATTTTGTAAAAACAAATTGAATTCTTTCTTGATTACATAACTGGACACTTATTTTGAACCAAAATGAAAAAGCAAATTGGTCACTTATTGTGAACCGGAGGGAGTACCTTTTAATTTTTACCTGTAGTTTCTTAAGGCAATGGATATAATTGAATAGTTAGAATATGTGGCAAGTTAATTTAAACTCCATAAAAATTAGAGGCTTATATATACACGAGACAAACACATAATTAACCTCTTCCCAAAAAAAATTCCACCATTTTCTCTCTTCTTTTTCCTATCCAATTTCAGCTCCAATATGGCGAAACAAAGGGAGGTATGTCTTTTATTTTGTTTTTATGTTATCTTGAAAGATTGTAAATTTTATTATGTATTTCTCACATATTTGTTTTTCCTTTTCTTTTCTTTTGAAGATTGTTTTAAGTTTTTTAATGGAATATGATCACGAAGATAGAGTAGTTAATGTATCTTTATGAGTTGGAGATTTTGTTTCTCAGGATCCATTAAAAAAAAATTATTGTACTTTTCTCTTGATATTTCTTTATTGATTTTGTTTCTCCTGCTGTGTCTTCTGTTTATGGCCTACACGATTTCCTAACGAATAACAATAATAATATTGAAATATGATTTTAAAAAAATTAAGATTAAATATTGTTTTCTACATCATCATTAATGTTAAAACATTAATTTATATGGTTGTTAGCGTGGATTTAATTGTTAGAGATACCCTTATGATTCTCTTGTATCATAAGAGATTTCAGCTCTTCTCTTTAATACATTTATTCTTAATGTAGATATTTAGTCATAAAATAAAACCCTTTTAGTCTTGTCTTATTATTTGTGCAATGAAGTTGCATACATTACAAGAATTACTTTCATCTCTTTATTGGCTCAATTGTAAGTTTTACTATAGTTAGCTTGTAAGTAATATATGAGAAATCATAACAATATCATAGGATGAAGAGCTACTCTTTCTCCCAAGTTTTCTTTGGTTCACACTCGGTGTCCAATATCCGCTTTGGGGCCCGACTTCCGTTGGGGGTAAAGCCAGTGGCGAAGGTAGAATTTTCATTAAGGCGGTTCAAAAAAGAAAAAAAGTTAAACAATTAGAAGAGACTGTGGCTAGTGGGAATTGAACTAGTGACCACATAAAAGTTTTGAACCCCTTGACCGTTGAGCTATGCTTTAGACCTATGTAAAGGAAATTCAAAACATAATATATACAGGTAAAACACAGATTTTGCCTTATATACACAGTGTAAATTTTTGGCGAAGAGAGTTCGGGTGAACCCCTTTTCGTCCCCCTAAATGTGCCCTTGGGTAAAGCACTCCATACCAAAGGCAAGTCCATTCACAGGGCTCGACCCAATACCTCTGGTTCCCTAGTTACTTATTCTACTTTATGTATTTGGTCTTCCCAAAATTGTATCTGGAAAAGGGAACTTATTTGCATACACAGTATCCTGTAGAGAGTTCACTATTGTGAACATTCCCCAAATTACTCATAAACTTTCTCCTTGGACAAGTCAATATAGTTTACACTACACTTAATTATCCAACGCTTATGTATATCGTCTCATATCATAGATATCGGGTAACTCTGTAGTATCATTGTTTAACTACTTAAACAGTTTTATCTTCTATATATACAGAAATATGGATTGCCGTATGTGCCTCAGTTTGGAGCTTGGGATCATAAAACTGGGGACAATCTTAATTTTTCCATGGTATTTTCCCAAGCTCGTGCAAACAAGAAGCAGAATAGACATAATCTAGCACAACACAACCTGGGAAATGAGCAAGAGATTCTTGCCAAGCTCCAAGAAGTTTCACCCAGAGTAAGAAATAATTTTTTCTAACATCAAGAAAATTCATTTATATATGCACAAATATCTTCATTCAATGCATTATAAGTCTCAAGAGACACACCTTCCTTTAGTAGTACAATGGGAACTTAGCTTTGGTAGTGCAACAATGTGAATACTGCTCCTTATTTTGTTAAGAAATGCGGACATTAGTCCTAATTTGACTCTAAAATATAACTCATGAGGTGAGGATTGACGTTAAATTTAAGAGGAACCATCACCTTATTAAGATCATTTATCGATCTCCTTATGCAAGTTATTCTAACATACAATATATTTAACAATTAATTCACAGATAACCTTTCATATGTATTGCAGAGAGGAGGTAACTCACAATGTCATTGTCTAACTAATAGTTTTTCTGAATCTGTAGGAAGATAGCTCGACGCCAGTGCCTCAATTTGGAGAAAGGAATCAAAAGACTGAGGGAAATCCTGATTATTCCAAGGTGTCCCCCAAAGCTCATGCCAACAAGAAGTCACATAGACATGATCTAACACACCGAAGCCTGGGAAATGAGAAAGAACTTGGCAAACATCAAGAGGTTTCATCCATGGTAAGAAATACTACTTTGTTTCTAATACTTGAATAATTCATTTACATATGCAGATGCATTTTCATTTAATGCATTATATAACTATCAAAACATTCCTCTAACAATATTGTCGGGAGTTCCTTTAACATTTCATGTCTTCTAGGAATGGATAACTGATCAAAGTGTTATTGTTAAATCTGTAGAAACGTCCAATGTCTGTGCCTCAATTTGGAGTGTGGGATCAAAAGAGTGGGGGTAGTCCTGATTATGCAAAGGTGTCCCCTCAAGCTCGTGCCGAAAAGAAGCAACATAAACATGCTTCAGCACGCCGCAAGTTGGGAAATGAACAGGAGCTTCGCAAGCACAACGAGGCTTCACCTAGGGTAAGAAATACTTGTTTCTTATGAGACTCGAGACACACTTCCTTTTAGTTATGTTTAACTGTGTGACCATCTCATCCAAATATTTAAGCTATTAGAGAGGAACCACTTCTATTTACTTAGTTATGTCTTCAACAAGTCATACAATAGAAGCTTGTCCATCTCATGCCAAAAGAACATAATTACCACCCCTATTCTGCATGTGAATCAACAATTTTAGACCACAAGTAGTATGGCCTTTACTTAGGTGAGCGAATGGATAGATCTTTTTTTCCTTCACCACCTAAGGGGGTTCAACAGTGTTCCTACTTACCTCCCAAAAACACCCAACCAACCAGTTGGATGTGAAGCTGCTTTACCAGTACAAGTTGACAGCATCTTCTGGCAGTGAGGACGTGCTTCCTAGGAATTAACTAGGAAAATGAGAAAGTGACAGTAATGCTTCTGCTTGGCACCATTTCAAGTACCTTAACTATTTTTTTAGTTAGGTCCATGAGAATCATAGGTCAGGTCAGCTGTCCCAGACCATCGAGACTTTGTAAATCCATTTTCCCCAGTTAGGCTAGAAGTGTTTGTTAGATGGCGAGGAAGAGAAAAGTAGAAAGGTTATAGAACTGTTTATTGCGTACCATTTACCATAAACAACCTCTCTACCTTCACAAGGTAGGGGTAAGGTCTGTGTACATACTACCCTCCCAAGACCCCACTTGTGGGCTTGTGGGAGTGCACCGGGTATGTTGCTGTTGTTGTTGTTGCTACTTGTCCATTTTACTACATCAATTATGCTACTGGTGATTTGAGATTAGCAGTTGTCACCAGTCACTAGGAGAGAACTATTCATAGACATGTCCAGTCTGTATGGAATGAAATGGGTGAGTTTGTGCTGACAAGGGGAAATGTGACCAATACATCCAGGATAAGAACAGATTTTAAGAAAAGATAACAAAAATACATATATTTATACCAATACTGAATGCATCTGAGAAAGGTTCAACGAAGAGATCAGAATTTAAATTGCACTGTCACGAGTTTTAATTCAATATCTCTGGTAATCCTAATCAAGTTACATTTCCTTCTTTTATTAATTTTATAAAAAAGGAAAAAGAAAGTAAGGTATGATTGGTGAATGACAAATTTCCAGTTGCAATATCTCTAGAGTACAATTTTGTCGTAGCGACAACATGTATATTATCTGGTCAATAAGTTAACTTCACTTTTTACCACTATGTTCATCATGTTTTCTGTTAGTTAATGTGCATTGACCACGAGAATATAAATTTCAAGAAAAGACAAACTATGTTTCCCATGAACATCATTCATGACCTTTTTCCAAATATCATTCATCATAGTTTATGATATATTTAATGATTCAAAACTTATAATAATTCAAGTCTTCCACAGAGTGGGTAACTCTAGTGTCATCGTGTCACTGATAGTTTTTTTTTTCCTTCTCTTTCTGAATTTTTAGAAAAATAGTCCGGTGGCCATGCCTCAACATGGAGCACAGGATCAAAAGACAGGGGACAATCCTAATTATCCCATGGTGTTCTCCCAAGCTCATGCTAAAAAGAAGCAGCATAAACCCCACAGCCTGGGAAATGAACAAGAGCTTGGCAAGCGCCAGGATGTCTCACCGATGGTAAGGAAAACTTTGTTTCCTAAACGCATGAAAGTTCATTTACATATGCAGATACATAATATTTTGGAGAAAACTTTCCTTTAGTCATATAATACAGACTTTTCTTTGGTTTGGCAAAAGCATGATAAAATCCACAAGATGAATATCATAAAAATGTGAATATTAACATGAATGCTCTACCATACATAGAAGATAAAATGAGATAACGTCACCTGGATAGTTTGGTGATATCCTGCATAGACCCTCTATGTGTACTGGAACACAGGACAATATGATGTCGGCTTACCTCTAAATTTGGCATAGACCTCCATACGCATTGGTATGTTGTTACGGCAATATGATCATTGAAAGTGATAAAAGAAGATGAGCTATACCTTAAATCACATGACTAGAAGTTATCTCAAAGATCTACAATATCTTGGATCAGTGCATTATATAACATCCCTCATTAAAATAGTCATTTTCCTCCCTTCCTATTTTTACAGTTTTACAGTGATGGCCACATATAGAGCCCGTTTGGATGGGCTTGTTGTAAGTAACTTTTAAGCCAAAAGCCATAAGTTAGGAATTCTAGCTTTTCGCTTTTGGCTTATTTTTGTCATTTTAGCTTAAAATCATGTGCTTAAAAGCACTTTTTTACTTTATCCAAACACTACAAAATGGCTTAAAAGCATTTAAAATAAGCCAATCCAAACGGGCTCATAGAAACTGTTATTTGTATCTGACGTGTTCTCTTCTGTTCCATATGTCATTGGTATGGATGTAAGAAAAAGGAAATTGAACCATACCTAAGATTAAACTATTCCGATATTCCTCAAGTAGCAACACTTCATTTCCTTTCTTACATCCTTGCATTAAACTGAAATTGCAGTAGTCAATGTGGATTGTAGAATTTCAATAGAATGAATATAGCCCGCTAAGAATGAAAAATTGTTTTGAAAGTAACACCAGCCACTGCCAGAAACAACAAGTGATCATTACTGCACCTAGAAGTCTTACTTCATATGTGGAATCTATAACCTTTACAGTAATCTCTCCCTCAAATTGTTTATTTAGCTAATGAGTAATGTGTTCATTATGTTCACACTTTTAATCATGCACTGCAAAGTTGTATTAGTCATGAATTCCATACTAATCATCCATAAAATACTATGAGCTTTGTAGTCGGAAAATACTCACAAGCTATTAATAACTTATCATATGGTTTTCTAAATCTGTAGAAAACTGGTTGGTTGTCTGTACCTCAATTTGGAGAGTGGGATCAAAAGACTCCGAGCGAGACCAATTATTCTGTGGTGTTCTCTCAAGCGCGCGCCAACAGGAAGCATCACAAAAGTGATTTAACCCATCGTAGCTATGATTTTGAGCAGGAGCTTCTTTGCAGGGAGCGAGAGCAAGCTGCCAGGGTAAGACATCCTAAACTCAAAAAAAATTGAGTTACACGGAAAACGTATCTTCAATACTACGCATTATAAGATTCTCAAGACAGAATTTCCTCAAGTAACTGAACATAAGTGCATATTGGGGTTTGTTCAGACCCATATTCGTACTTGCTTAACGCCCTAGGATCAGAACATGCCAAACATTATATACCAACATAGCTTCCATATACATTGTGGTTATGCAAGTTGCAACCGTACCTCTAATCATTTTGGATATGTCCTTTGTGCAGAGGAAAAAGAACAAGTTCCTGACGTATCTTAGTTGCTGTCTTCCTGTATGATGCCGTGGTTTTTTAGTGTGGGCGAGCAGCCTCCTTTTTAACAGTCTTGACCTGACTATTTCTCTCATGTGTTCTTAAAGTAAGCATGAGAGAGTTTTATCAATTTTTCAGTAGGGTATATGTATGCATCCAAGCCTCTTGCTTGGAGTAAAACTCAAGTAAATATAGCAGTGTTACAGTCAATAGCTATGTAATTCTTGGTATCTATTTATATTCTGCATAATGAGGTAAAATCTGAATCTCCATTCAGTAATCCAGCTTTACACCATTGTATAATATCCTTTATGGAATAAACATAAAAAATAACATTATGTGCCCAAGGGCCCAGCTACAACTGCAGGAGGGTGGATGTTCTTATGATTGTTGTTCTGTATTTACAAGTTGAATGAGACAAACTTTCTGTTCCTCAAAATGAAAATTGAATTTGCCAACTCAAGTTGTTGACCGTTTTACGGGAGCTCTCAAGGAAGCGAGGTACTTTGCATCTGCCTTGTCTATCCCGTCAAAGAGATAACTGAAAGGTGGCATTTCAATGTACTTGCCAGCACCAGGAACGACTTTCAGCTCATCATTTTCCCAAACAATCCTTCCTCCTGCAATTGTAACTTCAACCTTTCCCTGTACAAGGAATTGCGAATTTAAAGCAGTGGCAATGTTTGAGAAAGAGTAAAAAGAGGGGGCTGTGGGAATTGGATGACTTGATAGCTAGGCAAATGAAATTTAGTGGACGGCTAAATTATAGAAAATATATTTCTCAGGATGTTCCCTTCTCCCAAATGAAGTGATTGTCAATGAGAGAACCAACATCAGAATAAAGATTCATACAGGTATTAAGTAAGATGAAAAATGATGATAGTTCTTCTCTATGTAAATGAAGGACATTTCAGCAAGTCATATTATGTATCTTGAGCAATTGAAGAGTGGAAAACTGGGTTTGAAAAGATAAAATGAAGGTCCGATACAGTACTTTCTTTCCAACTTTTATTAAGTAAATTAACAGGAACATCAAAACAATCAAATCACTGCATGCAACAAAGTTCTACAACATACTTTTGGCAAGAAATTATGTGATACATAAAACTCAATAAGTGAACACTTCTTACCTTGCCTCTCCAACCCTCGTAGACATTGGTATCTGTTCTATAATGGTGAGACTTTGAACTAATCTCGAAGCTAGAATTTGGATTTAATATGATTATATCTGCATCAGACCCCACAAGTATTGCTCCCTTCCTTGGATAGATATTGAAAATCCGAGCACTAAGAGAACACAAGAAGTAAGCATTAGACTGGTGGATATAGATTCACATTGAAATGAATATCAAGAGATCTGCAAAACTTTTGGCCAAAATTTACCATTCAGTGCTTGTTATGCGGACATAATCAGTGACAGATATTTGACCAGATGCCTGACAAAACAGTTGGAAGAAAGTAAAACCAAATACTCGCATAACACAATGTATTTGAGCATCATGCCATATTAAGAATAATAGAGGATGTCACAGCTTACCACCATTGTATCCCAAACCAAATGCATCCTCTCCTCCATACCTATGCAGATATGAATTATATTGTGGAACTCAGAAATGCCGTAAAAGGAAGAGAAAGGACAACGTAATATATATATTAAAGGGGAAAAAACTTTTGTGTACCATTAACACCATTTGGTATTTTGCGGAAATCACCAATTCCTAGAGCTTTCTGAGTTGAATTGAAGGTACAGTGATCAGTTCCTACCAGCTGCATATATGAGCCATGCTGATCAGTTGTATAGACAAGGAACACTAATAAATTCCCTCTTGCTCATATGAGCTGACAGACGAAATCATAAGACAGGGAAGTGGAATATTTGGCTATGGCCAATGGAAACGCCTAAGTAGCTTTCAAATTTGTGACAGCACAGAGAAAAGCACATACATGTATACAGACACACAAAAGGTGATTAAGATCAAAACCTGCAGAAGCCCCATTGCAAGAGCTCCTTGAAGAGCTGTTCCATGACCTGCTGCTCTGATTGGCGGGCTCATGACATAACTGAAATAGTAAAAATGTTCGTGCACATTTTATGCCATCTATGAAGGGAGAAAAAGAAAGAAAATCTAAACCACAGAGGAGAAAATGATTTTTACCTGGCTGCGAAATGGAAATCAGGGTCCCAAAGTACTGAATCATTAAGAACTAAACCTGAAACTACTGGCTCCCCGACAACTCTCTGACCTGAAATGAGATGGTAAATGTAGTCTAGAGGCGTAAGTCAAGTGGCATGAAACTGGCATCTGAGGCATAATATTTGATAAATAACATTAACATGGAAGTGACATAGGTTCAAATCTACAAACATGCGAATAAGCATTTTTAATTACAGATGATTTAGAGGTAGAAACACTACAGGTACTACGTAAAGTTTTAATTACAAGTTCCAGAGAAGATCGGTAACTTCAAAGTAGAGGAAACAATTTCATTACTGCTAGAAAGCAGAAAAGAGGACGTTCAAACCAAAGGAGCTCCATGGTCAATTAAAAAAGACAGAACAAAAATTTTAGTTCCAGAATGGGTTTTCCATGAATGATTTGATGGGGCTGAAACCAACAACTTCAAGATTACTATTTACTAGTACTCCTTAGATGGGAAAAGGAACCAAGGCATATTCCCCATAAAGTAAGCACTACAAAGCCACTCATTCAAATTGTCATCAAACACACTATTCAAACAGTTTATGCCAAACCTGACTTCCGAGCTCTGGCAATTTCTTCCATCGCGTCAATGCTCATGACATGAACAACATACAGCGGAGTGTTCACAAAGCCAGCCAAACGAATAGCTCGAGCAGTAGCCTCTCCCTCCAGCTGCAATTATTAATGACATTGCAAGAAACAGCATTAGGAAAATTTATTCCAAAAATTGAAAATAGCCTTGTCAAATCAAAGCACAAAACTTCACAATCAAAGTGAGAACATTATTGGCCAGAAAGAACAGAAATACGACCAAAAACCAAAAATCTTGAAGAAACACCATTATCTACAAATATTTAACTCATACAACTATGAGTACCTAAAATCTCCTAATATCTTCTCCTGTGTAGCATGGGCGCTTCTTAAATGTCTGTCCATGATTATCCATGACTTACAACTATATTTACCGAGCATTTTACACACCTTTTGCTGTGTCTAAAATTTTTCTCATTATCTGACCAATGGTCACACATCTATCCTATGTCGTCAACGTATGCAGAAGACCCAAACACGTTTATTACTTATTCATATGTAACCCATTTGCATGTCTACCTAGAATATAGTTTATTGAATTAGCTCATATGTTCAGCTTAACCCACTAATAGGAACGAAACAAGTACTTCCATTTCTTCATCACAATCACCTACGATTCATCTAGAAAGCAAGTTCCGCCATGTCGAACAATTCACTCACATTTGTATCTGTGCAGCATATCCCGCGTCCTACTTTTGTTTAATTAGTTTCAGGAAACATAATCAGCAGAACAGTAACACCTCACTTTCACGTCGTACATCATAAAAGAAAAAGAATCAAAGATATTATTTGGCGAGGTTGACCAACGAAAGCTATTACAATGACGAATACTTTTTCCTTTTGGGGTGCAGTTGGCAGACTGTTAAAACTTTATATACCAGAAGAGAAACAGCACAAAAATTTAAGAAGAAAGAGGTAAAATTCCTAAGAAACCTTAAGCACATAAAAGCTTAAAGTAAAAATATTTAAATTCACTATCTCAGTCGAGCTGTCACAGAATCACAGATAGAATCTATATTTTGTAAGGTTGTTCAGCATACCTTAATATCTCAGTCTCAAAATATTATGCCTTGTAATAAACATTCCTTGCTAGAAAATGAAAAATACTTCCTACATCTCAATGTCCTAGACATTATTCTCTACTATTATCACTTTGCTGGTTCTAATAATGAGAACATCCTATAGCACAAATGCGTAACAAATAATTAGTGCTTTCTGGAACTCCAAGTGCCATTTACTTGGTGGCAATGGAGCAAAAGTGCATTCATGCATGTTGACAAGCTAGGAGACAGAGAAAAAACTAAAGCAGCTTTATCCCTAGGCATGAATGCTGAAGGCCTACCACTGGAGGCCTTGATAATGCATGTCCCTCTGGACCAGTAATACCAAGTTTGATCATTCTTTTTTGACCTTCAAATACAGCATCCCCATTTTCTGCATGAACCATAGCTAAGGCCCCAAGGGATTTGCATTTCTTCAATCCCTCCATCAGAAGCTCATCATTAACCATAAAAGAGCCTTTGTAGGCAAGGAAAAACTTGAAAGAGTTGATACCTAGCGTAAGAGAAAGCTAGTCAAGAAGAGTGACTCAAAGAAAAAAACAAAGGTCCAGTGGGAAAGACAAATGACCCACACTCTAGAAATAAAAACCTTTCTCCTTGACCATAATTTCCATATCCTCTGAAACGGTTTCATCCCATTTTGTAATTGCCATGTGAAAACCATAATCCATGCATGACCTCTTTGCTTTCTCTACGTAAGCTTCATAACCTGCAGATAAGCTTCCATTTACCGGAATAACAAAGTCAATATGCATTGTTGTTCCACCAGCTAATGCAGCCGCCTGTCCACTGAAGAAGTCATCAATTGTCTCAGAACCCATAAATTCCATAGCGAGGTGTGTATGAGGATCAATTCCTCCTGTCACCATCATGAGAATAAGCAAACGACGATAAATTGTCTGTTAGCCAAGTTCACTAGTGAGACTGGCTTATTAGGAAATATAACTCTGAGAAATGCTCTCATATATATTTTACCACTCAAAGGTGAATATTTTGTATTAAGCAAATCTCACTTCACCAAAACTCTCTGCTTATTCATGTAAAATCACAATAAGTTGAAACTGATGTCAGAGCTGCATATATGACACTAAAGCGTGTTTGCCTATAGTAGACATTCCATATAGGTCTTTTTCTGGCGGAGGAAAAGCACAACACAATTATGATTATGAGACTAGATATGCAATCAACTGAGCACCATGACCCTGAAGAAAGAAAATCTACCTGGCATGACAAACTTTCCAGTTGCATCAATGACTTTGATATCATCACCAACCTGCAGATGGTCTTGTAAACTGAGATGTGCATCATATGCAGATGAGCAGCAAAGAAAATACTCAAAAAGGCTATAGATAATCAACTACTGAAAACATACAAAGAGCTTGGGGAATATATAAAGCCAGCTTGACTGGGCAGATGTTGCACATTAGGTGGGTATATTTAAGTAGTAAACTATGTGAGCAACCTGCTAATCAACAAATGAAGACAAAAAAGAACCTACATCACCGCGTGACGGACTAAAAAGACTAAGCCAATTTTCCCGCTAAATAAATTTCAGCATCATAAAATGAGAATTAAAGGCAAAAAATTTTTGTTATCGAAATAAAGTAATGGGGACATTTTATATCCAGAAATAAATTTCAACAAAAATATAGCAAAGTCAAAAAGATATTCCTTCCACCGTAAAAGCCTTTGTAGGATCCTACGTCCATATATCCACCATATTGTGTCCAGGTGGTTTTTTAGCCATCCTCTAAAACCTCATCTTATACATCTCTAGACTACTAAAAAACATACTTTACTTCCCTCCTAAGTTAAGCATCACAGCCATTGCTAAGGCACAACCCAGGATTTCCAAAAATTACCATTACCTGAACAATCTAGCTCACAGTTTGGGCAAATCTCATGTTATCATAGAACATTTGGATTCATTGGTCTTTAGCATCCAGATAGCAAAACAAAACAAGATACATTTTACTCCACTAAACATTATTTGTTCTCCTTAAATAACTCACAGGAGTTGCTACTCTTCCGATCTTGGTATGCCAGGGACCAGGTTTACTACAGAAGCTACAAGTACACAAATTCCATTTACTTCAGAATCATATCGGTCAAACTTGAAACAAATGAGAACCGTTTTTTCCGCTGTTCAGATAGTTAACTGAATAACAAATTTCTTTGTAAGACCCTTTAGTTATTCCCGCATAATAAGAACAAAACATAGCCAGAAATGATTCAAAAACAATAATTGGCATCGAATTAGCTACCAGCTCATAGAGGCCAATCACAATTGACAAGCAGCCCTACTAGCTGTCCTATGGAACATTTATTATTCACTTCCCACTCAATTATCAAACTAAAAAGAGAAACTTTAACAGATACCTTAATGTTAGGCTGCACTGCCACGATTATTCCATCTTCTAGATACACATCTGTGACCTCCTTATGATGAGCATTCACTACTGTTCCTCCTTTTATCAGTATCTTTGATGAAACTGACGGTGGAACATTGCACCCAGAATCTCCATAAACAAATGCGGCATCACAAAACTGCAAAACATAAAAAATCGCTTAGACCATCTTAGAAAAGAAACTGCTTGACATTGATACGATGATTCTATTTGTTTTCTTTACTCCACAAAATTATGTCCATACGACAGTTCATATTTCTTACCATCCATCATGAATCAAATGAGAGGTCCTCCACAAATTTGAAATTTCTCGTTCATTGAGTACAAAAGCAGAAGGGAAAATGATATAAGTCAGCTTCTTAGAAACACACCAGAAGATTCAACTACTCTTCATTTCCAATGCATTCAAATTTTGAAACTTTCTCCAATTTCTATCAAAAGGAAAAGCTCCTGTCTCATTTCCCTTCGTGCCAACATTTTTGGCATCCACTATTTTTTCATATATGAAAGTAGTGAAAATGAGGATGTTGAGATGGACACAACAAAAAAGACAAGATTAGGAACGAAGTTATTAGGGACATGATGGGAGTGGCCCCTGTGCAGGACAAGTTGCAAGAATCGAGGCTGAGATGGTTCGGGCACGTGATGAGACGAGAATAGCTGCCTCGGTTAAGAGGTGTGAGAGGTTGATCATGGCGGGTCTGAGTAAGGGTCGGGTAAGAAGTACTGGGGTGAGGTGATTAGGCAGAACATGTCACTGCTTCAGCTTACCGAGAACATGACCCTCGATAGGAAGGCGTGGAGGACGAGTATTAGGGTTGAAGGTTGACAGATTAGTTGTGAGTCTCTCCTAGGCTTGTCAGTAAAACTAGTCCTATTGTTGTATTTGCTTATTCCTGGTTCGTTATTAGTACATGTTGTGCTATTCGCTTCCATTGCCCTATTACCTTATTGTTGTTATTGTTTGTTGATTCAGTTCACTGTTCCTTGAGCCGAGGGTCTACCGGAAACACCCTCTCTATTTTCATAAGACCCTCTCTAGACCCCACTTGTGGGATTACACTGGATTTATTGTTGTTGTACTATTTTTTTGCATAGGTACACAAAACAAGAATTCCACCACAAAGATCCAACCTTTTCTAACTAATCCTAAGTTTATTGAATACAAAAAGACAAAGAAACAACTAACAATCCACACCAGACTGTCGCTTTCTGTCTAACTTAAAAATATTCATTCCTTTCCAAAATTTAGTGTTATTAAAGCGCAAAAAAGTAACAAGGTCTGTGGAGCTTGAACGAAAAGCAGGAACTAAAGGACAGGCGCATAATTTACACATAATTAAAAATACCATACTTATAAGAATTTAGCTCTATAAAATAGTCACATTTCAATTAGAATAACCAATTTCAACACTCAATATATAATAATGCCAATATTAATCCAACATTCCAACTCCTCAATTTTATTTTATTTTTGTGGGTGTTTTATTACAAATATGAAATCATAAGGTTTTGAGATTTGAGGAGTTTAACTCCTCAAAGTTGAGATTCCAAAAAAGGGACCGTTTCATTAGCTCAAAATTCTTATGTATGTTATTGTCATTATTGTAAAATTACAAACTTGCTACTCTGACTCTTATTGATTATTTTCAAATTTCGGAGTTCCTTTCAGAAACGGAGAGTTTAATCATCTGTTCGTTAAGTTCAAAACATAAGAAAGACGAGCAATCAACTCAAATACACAAGTTAATCTTAGTAGACTTAGGATTAGATAACAAGAAAAAAGGTCAAATCAAATACAGAAACATTGACATACCTCGTTGGATGCAGAAACAACAGCGAAAATTGTGGAAAAAAGAGCAATCACATAAACCAAAGGGATGAATAACTGAACTCTGAGACAAAACTCCATTGACTTGCAGTTCCCTATAGAGCTGGAAATGTTGAACTTATAGAGCCGTAATGAATTAACTCGTAAATCGCAATTGAAACTTGCGACGTATGATTTGCATTTATAGATCGCAAAAATATGTACGTCGCAATTACAACATGCTTGTAAGTCGCATTGACTAAGAAATGTTACTAGTATATAAGCGCCTTGTATAAATGCGACTTATAATCCGTTTATAGAGTCGGAACTTAGCTTTTGATAATGGGACGTACAGTTCGCATTGACAATTTAAATATAAATCGCAATTGATAAATACGACTTACAATTCGCATTGAGTAATGTGTTTTATATGTCTTACTTTAACGAATGTGTTTTATAAATCAAATGCCGTTTTACGTGTCGCTACTACAGATAGTTTTGTAAAGTAAATTCTGGGCATTTGAAATCTTCCAACTTTTTGGAATAATAAATAAGAAAATACTTTTAGGATAATGAATGATAGGTTATAAATTTAACTTGTATATATAGAATTTAACACTATTACATATTTTAAAATTTAATTGCAAGTAAGATTGTATTATAAATATTAGTAATTATTAACCTGCAAAAGATTGTAAAAATGACATGTTAGAGATAGTAAAAGTACAGTAATGCTAATACGAAAATATTTTACACCGTGAGAGATCATTTATTATTTGTTGATTGTCATTTTTTTCTCGCTATAGCTAATACCGGTATGATTTATAATTCAATTTAAATATTATCTTACACTTCATACAATTCCAAACCGAAAACCAAACCAAACCGACCAAAAAAATCAATACTTTTTGGTTTGGTTTGGTTTTGGTTTTGAACTTAAAAAACCGATCAAATTTGGTTTGGTTTCGTTTTAATCAAAAAAAATAACCGAAAAAAAACCTGAACCAAACCGACTATAGAAGTAGCTATTTCAAATTTATTATTACACCTATATATATGTATATTTTTATACGAAGTTTCAAAAATTTTATGGTGAATGTTAATCGTTTGCACTTTTAGTACAGTTTTTTACCTTTATATTCTAGCTTGATTGGTAGTTTTTTTTTTTTTGTTAAGTGTAAGAATCCATTTCATGTTTAAAAAAATATATGTTTAATTGAGTCCTTAAATTATTCATCACTATTTGATTCAATTATCATCAATATATTTTAGTAAATAATAGATTTCTCGAAGGGCAATTGATTTGATAGTGTTACGTTGAAAATGTGGTTGCCGGAATATGTGTTTGGTAGTGTATGTCTTATATTTAAGAAAAAACCGACAAATAACCGAAAAAACCGAAAAACCGACAAAACCCGACATAAACCGAATCGAGAAAAACCGACTTAATTGGTTTGGTTTGGTTCTAATATTTGAAAAACCGACTTACTTGGTTTGGTTTCTTTTTAGGGAAAAACCGATCCAAACCGAACCATGAACACCCCTATCTAATATTAATGTTAGCCGTACTGAGTATTATTAATCTTGCATATATAATTATGCACTATAATCCCAGTGTAACTGATTTATGAACTAATCAGCTTAAGTTTTGATTACTTTTCTAATTTTTAAAAGGGAAAATGAAGAAAGTAACAAGTCTGTAATCAATTTTTTATCATGCCTCTGGTAATAATTGGGCTTAAGCCCAAATATAAGCCTATATTGGGCCATAAACTTACTTTCGGTTAAAATATCATGGTATAGTCAGTTTTCACACTGGTTAATGAAAAATAGCCAGCGTTTATCAAATCAATAAAAAATAGCCACTATTTTGCTGCAAGAGGGACCGGTCCAGTATAATATACGGGAGTTCTGGTGCATTTGTGTACGAACTCCAGCATATTATGCTGGACCGGTATACTTTGCTAACTCCTGTAAATTTGCGGAGAATGGAGCACCAGTGCTCCAAACTCCAGTATATTATACTGGACAATTATACTTGCTGGAACTCCCGTAAAATTTGCGGGAGTTCCAGCATAGTTATCCTGGAACTCCCGTAAAATTTGCGGGCGTATTTTTCCGGATTTTGAACAGTGTTTTCGCTCAGATTTAAAGTGACTAAATTTCGATGACTTTTGAAACTTGACTATTTTTCAACGACCAGTGGTAAATCTGGCTATTTTTGAATTTCTCCCTTGCTTTCACCCAATTAGCCCAATATTGGGAGGAAAATTTACCAAGGGAAACCAGAAGATATAAAAGAAAAAGCGGCAAATTATACATTTGGCCAGTCAGCTAAAAATAATTACTTCGCAAATTATATATATATATAAAAATATACTTTTACATGCTATTATTTTTTAGAGCGACTATACTATGTAGTTTTCCCAAAGAATAATTTTTGATACGAATCTCGTCAAATTGTTGATAAGGAAACAATTTTTTCTAACATGAAATCTGGGGTTAATAGAGAGAAATCATTCATCCTTAAGCTCACCTTGATCAATCCTTCAAATCCAACATCGCCAACACCAACAATCTTATCCAATCGAATGATGAAAAATAGTTCTACAGGGGCGACCTGAGAACATATGTATCACATTAAATTATAAAAACAAAAAATATCGTACATATGATCTCAGGTTACTCCTATTGAACAATTCCACCTATTTATATAAAACACTTGAACTTTTGTGGCAAATTATGTTGATCTTGAAAACATATAAAGGGGGAGATTTTAAAGGTGTAGAATTGTATAACACAGTACTACAATTGTACTAGTACTTCTAGGACAATAAATTTGTTTACTAGTGATGTCTTTGTCAAATAATAAAGTACAAATTATATATTATGTTGTACTACACACATTCTACTTCACTTATTGGTACTACAAATTGATCAGTTGAATATTTTGTGAGTAAATCAATAGAAGTATAGCAAGTAGTGCAAATGATAAAATACATATTGTAAGTACACGATCTTAACTCGGAGGCGGATCCAAGATTTTGATAGGATGGGTACACTATTAAGAAGAAATGGACCAAAATATAAATTTTACGGGTTCAACCTTTAGTTCTTACTATTGCGCACCCATTACACTTTTGGAATATAAGTTTAAAATTAATTTTTTCTTTAAAAAGAGTAATTTTCTTACATCTACGTCTATTTCCACGTCGAGAATATTGGGATCAGTTGAACCCATTGACCATGTGCTACATCATATATTGTTACTAACTTTATATTACACATTTTGTTTAATCATATAAGATTTTACAACGACAAAAGAAGAATAGGAATTTTAATGTGTGAAAATTTTGAAAGAATAAACCAAACAATTAAAGAAATAAAAAGAAAAAGTACTCAATTACTACTCCCTCCGGTCTAAAATAAGTGATTTTTTGGGTTTTTTTTGTGGTCCAAAATAAGTAATTTTTCCAAATTTCAAAAATGAATTAATTATTTTTTCCCTACATTGCCCTTGGAGTAAATAGTGTTGGAGTATGTGTTAGGAGTGTTTATGTGAAGAGATAGTAAATGTTAATATGGTCAATTTCATTGCTAATTAATGCTAAAAGGTGAATTTCTTAATCAGTGTGAAAACAGCTAAAAAATCACTTATTTTGGACCGGAGGGAGTATCCAAAAAGGGGCACCAGACACGCCCATTCCCCGTGGGCGTCTAATTCTAGAAAAGAAAAAGAAAAATACAACAAGATTGACATAAGATTTGAACTCACAACCTCACCTAGAGAGGTATACCTAATAACCATAATATCATATAATACTTTGAGCATGGGTGCAAATACATATATTTAAATATTTTTGAAAAAATATAACATTACTATACATAATTTACGGAGGGGAGCATGTGTTCACATGCCCCATGGAACTCCCCCAGATACGCCCCTGTCTTAACTACACTTAAAATTGTACTACCATTCATATATCACTTAATCATGAACTAATATGATCTGGTGTACATAAAAAAACTTAGTTACATCTGGTGTTTGGAAAAAACTGACAAACACATGACACGTGTCTTTTATATGCACTTTTATTACTTAACCAAGATTAATTAATGCACATTTTTACTCAATTTATCACTTAACTGTTTCTCGGACCTCGCACATAGCGGGAGCTAAATATACCCTTTATCACTTAACTGTGGTGAACTAATATGATTTTGTGTAAACATCAGTTATCGGTTGAAGATTCAGCATTATTAATTAGAACTTAATTTGAAGTACAGAACAATAAAGCAAGGGACAAGATAATTAGGAGTATTAAGCAGTTGATGTGGAAGTAAATCAAAGAAACTAACTAATAAGTTAATTAAAGGAAAATCAACATACAGTTGAAAAGATTTGATGAAGCGGAGCCTTGGAGCAACGATAAATTGTTTTTGTGTTACATATAGGTTTGACCTGTGGAAGTCGCCATTAGGTAGGCTGTCCATATCACACCTTTGGAGTGCGGTCGTTCCCCAAATCCTACATGAACACAGAAAACTTTGTGCACCGACCAGCTAATTTGATCTAAAAAGCTAAGTTCTATCTACACTATTGCTCCATAAAGAAATGTTCACTAATCAACATTCTAATACTTCTTGATCAATCATTTGATGGTGCAATCTCTTCTTCCCACATAAACTCACTCCAAACAACTTTACACTACTACTCTTTGGTTCTTCATCTTCAATATTTATTTGACGATCACGACGATGATCGTTGATTCTTAAATTCAGATCTTCATTAAGTGAAAACAAACCGAATTTCTGGTCAATGGGTTTAGCGTGATTCTGAATAAAATAAATAATGTCGTTGTATAGATTTTTCATGTGAGCGAGTTCAGATAATAGTAAATTGTTTCTTTTCCTCAGCCTTTGATTGTCTTGTGTGAGTGTTAATAAAAGGAAATCATCAGTACTAGGGTTATTTTGTGTTTTTGGCTGATAGAATATGTTTTTTGTGATATTTTCATGGTAGGGTTTCAAATGGTGTAGTTGTTGAGGTGTACTCTTTCTTCTTTGAATCTCACAAAGTAAGTGTTTTTGCCCTTTC